GAATCAGATAGGAGTTGTGAGAACGTAGCCCAAACCATGGAATCGTCAGGCACAGTTTATACTATCACTATACAGTCAGTGCAATAATACCAGACGGCAACACAAGTGTTAAAAAATTCTAAAGAAATATCAGGAGGTAAAAAAAAATAAAAAATTGACACCTTTATACAATGTTCCAAATGAACGTGAACTAAAATGAAACATCTATAACATCGGCAAATTTTACATAAACTATGTTAACACTAGCTAGCATCAGATCACTGCTAACTCCTTGCATGCTACATAATGGGGGTCTATTTAAAACAATTCGCAGGGCCTTCACTCCTTGAATATCTGTGAATGTTCATTTTGAGAGAATAATGCCAAAAACGATTGTTCTTCATATACTTTTTCCCAATTCCAGTGTATTGTTGTAATATTACATTATTGCCACTTGATGGAGCTTTTACCAGTTTGAATGTAGTGTGTTGTAATACCATATCATGGCCACTAGACGGAGCTGAGAAGAATAGGAAAATGAAATACTTATTTCCTGTGCTCATCAACTCCATCTAGTGGCTACAGCATATTATTACAACACACTGCTTTTGATCTAGTGGCAATAATGTTTTGCTGAAAATGAATGTACACAGATATTCGCAGGATGAAGGGCCCTGCAAATAGTTTATGAATTGACCCCATTGTGTAATACTTCCAGGTATCTATTACCCGGGGCCAACCTTATAATGAAGCAACCTCAGGTGGTTGCCTCAGACGGGATCTCATTGGGTCACGCGGAAGGGGGCGTCAGGTGTGACCCTTTCTAAGAGCTATTAGCAACCTGTGATGCTCTGGCCGGTGTCCCGCCCAGCTCCTGGCAACCAGTGACATCAGTGAGCTGGGCAGGACACCTGGTGAGAGCAGGACCCAGAGGTAGCAGAAGGCATCCAGCTCCCCACAACACCAGCACCAGTTCTCCCCCCTCTCCCTTCCCCAGGTAACGCTCATCACCAGCACAACCTGCCGCCCCACCCCTGGCCTCAGGCAGCGAATACTGTAGGGACACCCCTGTTATTACCCCTCACAGGGATCACATGACTCCCCCTGACAATGCCTTCATCTGCTTTTTTCTCCCGAAGAACGGAGTCATCTCTATTCAGGCATCATTCAGGGTCATTAATTTCCTGGAATGAGATGCCGGCTCATCGTGTGATCATAGTGATCGATAACCCACAGTGAATGTTCGGTGAAAGTCACATTCACTGCTTTATAAATATGCCCCTTGGTGACGACATGCAGAGAACATTGTGTAATTACCCCGCTCGGGACACGACATAGATGAGGAGGGGCAGCAGATCGTCCATCGGAAGTTTATAATCCTTCTGCACCACTCGGGATACCGTCACCTCGATCTCCTTATAGGTCTTCAGAATTATTTCCAGCTTCTCTTTCGGGTCCACAGTGGTGCTGAGGGAATAAAAAACGTTTTTCAGAATTATCACAAAATAAATCACACCATGAGCGCCACACCAAAGAAACTTCTATCTATCCTTTACAAGAGAACTCTGCTCTGATATTAAAGACCACCAATGGTTCCAGCGACTTGGCCACCAATGGTTCCAGCGACTGGACCACCAATGGTTCCAGCGATTGGTTCACTAGACCACCAATGGTTCCAGCGACTTGGCCACCAATGGTTCCAGCGACTGGACCACCAATGGTTCCAGCGACTGGACCACCAATGGTTCCAGCGACTTGGCCACCAATGGTTCCAGCGACTTGGCCACCAATGGTTCCAGCGACTGGACCACCAATGGTTCCAGCGATTGGTTCACCAATGGTTCCAGCGATTGGTTCACCAATGGTTCCAGCGATTGGTTCACCAATGGTTCCAGCTATCAGACCGCCAATGCTTCCAGAGATCGGACCGCCAATGGTTCCAGCGATCGGACCGCCAATGCTTCCATCGATCGGACCGCCAATGCTACCAGCGATCGGACCGCCAATGCAACATTTTGATATTTTTACAATAATTTCCTTAGTTTTCGAATAATTTAGGTCTTTCTTTCTTGTGACACCTTTAGCTCCTTCTGTAAAGTTTAAGGCATCCGGAGCTGGATGATCTGGGCAAGTGATGCACATCATATCCAATGTACTTCCTCAGGAAAAGACATTTCCCATGATTCCATTTGGGCAGGCACTGACATGGTTGGCGGACAACATGGAGCAGCAATTTTTATCACCTGGTCACAACTGGGTTGCTATGCAACCGTGCCGGCCCGCAGGAAGAAGCATGGCGTAAGCACATCACCACTCTCCTTTCATGTACTCCCGAGAGGAGGAGGTGCCACTGGGAGCCATTTCTAACTAGGGTGGCCCAAAGCGGGAGCCATCCTAATCAGGAGGAATAAGGGAGAAGTTTGGGGGAGCAGAAGCATGAGAAAAATGCACTTTAAGAAGAAACAGCTGGAGCAGCTCAGCAGGAGGCTCGCTAATAATATTATGTGCTTCCTAGGTTGGCGTTCAGCTTTCAATACCCCTAGTATAATATAAGTGCCAGTCTTTACATTAGGTTCCTGCATATCCATAGCGCCTCCACTTACGTGATCTTCTGCAGACACTCCGTAGCCGACTGGAAACACTTATGCCGCACAATAGAATATCTCTGAAAAAGAAATTGGCCTCGATAAGTAAAGTTGTATTCCCATCGATTCCGTATGTTGAAATACAACAAAAGCTTCTTCTTTGTATGTTAATATGTAACTTAAAGTGAACCCATAAACAATGCTAACTAAAGTTACATCGACAGTTTTGCTGTGCCTCTCTCTCTGTGCACAGTACAGTGACTGACTGTAGATGGCGCTGTGCCTCTCTCTCTGTGCACAGTACAG